ACTCCGACCTCCTCCACCTCATCACCGCGGGTAGCCACCCTACTGGAGCCCGGTTTCTGCGTTGTGTCTCCATCCGGCGGGGATGCATCGGACGAATCCTCGTCGTCCGTACCGGCCGCTTCGGAGCTGACCTGCAGCAGCAACCCTGGGGAATTTCAGGAGACCGGTTTTGAACGCAGCTTCGGACAGTCAGCCCTTCAGACATCGGAGGGGTTTCAGACGCTACTTCTACACTCCACCAAAAGACTTCTTGGTCAGGAAGGAGGCAATGCAGGAAGGACGGAGGAGTTCGCGACTGCCCTAGGGACAGAAAAGAACACTAATCTGGTAAGTACTCGTTTTAAAATTGGCCCTTTATTTTGCAATGTCATTATTAGCAAAGAGATTAACGTTCCTTAGCGGGAGCTAGCGATGGTATAGTGCCCAAGCTGGGCAAGCTCTTTCTTCAAAGGAACACTTCTCTTATCCGTAAAACAATGCAATTCTAGTTCCACGGACTCTTTGAGTTGCTGTCAAATTCCAGTGCGCCCTGCGTCAGCGCCATTTGTGAGGCGAGATAAATCCCTCAGTTACCTTGGAGTTCCCTGAGTTATCCCGAGCCACTGCGCTATAGGGTAGTCGCAGTAACCTTATTTTTAAAAATACGTGAAGGAGATGCGGTTAGCGGACAAAATGACGTAAGTGGAGACGATTCAAGCGATGACTTGGGACAGAGTATACTCAGTGTAAGAGAACAAGGAATTTGGAGACTTTCATCTCATGCACCAGGAGAGTACACTAATCGCATAATAGGATCTGCTTGATTACTATGGATTGTCATCCTTCTGCATGTGGCATATGGGAGTGGGTAACTGAATACGTTTAGCGTGGAAGATATTTGTCTTGACACGGACATAAGTGCCCGTACTACTGATGCCCTTGCGCTAACTTCCAGAGGTACCTGTGTAGCTGGCCTAAGTTAAAATCTAACTGTAACCACAGCCATAATGTTAACACTTATAAAGCTTATAAGATTGTTCTAATAAATAATAAACTTAAGGAAAACGAACTATACAAACGGATAAATGCTTTAAAAAACTTAACAGTGGGTGAGCAGGCCATTCAATTTGTAATTAGTACTTTCAAAGAAAGGCATCCTTTGGGAAAATGAGTAAATTTATTCAGTAAATTTTCGACACTGGATCCC